GTTTTAGAATACTGGTGGACAAAGACGAGAGTGGTCCTAAAGGAAGAGTGCTGAACTGGGGGAAGGTCATGATAGCAAAATTCGGCAGGAGTTGGGAATGTGGATTGGGAGCAGCTGTTTGAGGGTAAATCCACATTTGATATGTGAGAGGCTTTTAAAGAGAGGTTGATTAGAGTGCAGGACAGACATGTCCCTGTGAAAATGAGGGACAGAAAGGGCAAGATTAGGGAACCATGGATGACAGGTAAAATTGTGAGACTAGCAAAGAGGAAAAAGGAAGCATACATAAGGTCGAGGCGACTGTAAACAGACGAAGCTTTGGAAGAATATCGGGAAAGTAGGACCAATCTGAAACGAGGAATTAAGAGGGCTAAAAAGGGTCATGAAATATCTTTAGCAAACAGGGTTAAGGAAAATCCCAAAACCTTTTATTCGTACATAAGGAGCAAGAGGGTAACTAGAGAAAGGGTTGGCCCACTCAAGGACAAAGGAAGGAAGTTACGTGAGAAGTCAGAGAAAACGAGCGAGATTGTTAATGAGTACTTTGCGTCAGTATTCACTGAGGAGAGGAACATGACAGATGTTGAGGTTAGGGACAGATGTTTGATTACTCTAGGTCAAGTCAGAATTAGGAGGGGGGGGGGGGGGGGCTAGTGTTGGGTATTCTAAAAGGCTTTTTGTGGACAAGTCCCCAGGTCCAGATGGGATCTATCCCAGGTTACTGAGGGAAGCGAGAGAAGAAATAGCTGGGGCCTTAACAGATATCTTTGCAGCATCCTTGAGCACGGGTGAGGTCCCAGAGGACTGGAGAATTGCTAACGTTGTCACCTTGGTTAAGAAGGGCAGCAAGGATAATCCAGGTAATTATAGACCAGTGAGCCTGACGTCAGTGGTGGGGAAGCTGCTGGAGAAGATACTGAGGGATAGGATCTATTTACATTTGGAAGAAAATGGGCTTATTAGTGATAGGCAGCATGGTTTTGTGCAGGGAAGGTCATGTCTCACCAACTTGATAGAATTCTTTGAGGAAGTGACAAAGATGATAGGTGAGGAAGGACTGTAGATGTCATATACATGGACTTCAGTAAGGCGTTTGATAAAGTTCCCCATGGTAGGCTGATGGAGAAAGTGAAGTTGCATGAGGTCCAGGGTGTACTAGCTAGATGGATAGAGAACTGGCTGGGCAACAGGAGACAGAGAGTTGTAGTGGAAGGGAGTTTCTCAAAGTAGAGAACTGTGACCAGTGGTGTTCCACAGGGATCAGTGTTGGGACCACTGTTGCTTGCGATATACATAAATGATCTGGAGGAAGGTATAGATGGTCTGATTTGCAAGATCCAATTCAAGAGCGAACTATACGATAAATGGAAAATTGATACACAGAGAGATCTGGGTGTTCAGGGCCGTTGTACCCTGAAGGTGGCAACGCAGGTCGATAGAATGGTCAAGGCGGCATACGGCTTGCTTTCATTCATCGGACGGGGTGTCGAGTACAAGAGTTGGCAGGTCATGTTACAGTTGTGTAGGACTTTGGTTCAACCACATTTGGAATACTGCGTACAGTTCTGGTTGCCACACCACCAAAAGGATGTGGATTCTTTGGAGAGGGTACAGAGGAGGTTCACCAGGATGTTTCCTGGTATGGAGGGCGCTAGCTATGAAGAGAGGTTGAGTAGATTAGGATTATTTACATTAGAAAGATGGAGGTTGAGGGGGGACCTGATTGAGGTCTACAAAATCATGAGAGGTATAGACAGGGTGGATAGCAAGAAGCTTTTTCTCAGAGTGAGGGACTCAATTACTAGGGGTCACGATTTCAAGGTGAGAGGGGAAAAGTTTAAGGGAGATATGCGTGAAAAGTTCTTTAAGCAGAGGGTGGTGGGTGCCTGGAATGCATTGCCAGCGGAGGTGGTAGAGGCAGGCATGATAGCGTCATTTAAGATGTATCTAGACAGATACATGAATGGGCAGGGAGCAGAGGGATACAGATCCTTGGAAAATAGTTGACAGGTTTAGATAGAGGATCTGGATCGGCGCAGGCTTGGAGGGCCGAAGGGCCTGTTCCTGTGCTGTAATTTTCTTTGTTCTTTGATATGTAGACTAAAATCCCCCATGATAATTGCTGTACCATTTTTACATGCATTAGCTATTTCTACGTTTATTGCCCGCCCCACCATGATGTCATTATTTGGAGGCTCCTGTGTTCCTGTCTGCAGGGTCCCTCTACCTACCTCACTCGCAGTGACACACTGCTGTCCCTGGCCACTGATCGAATTAACATTAGTTAATCTACTAGGTGTGACTGCCTCCTGGAACACGGCATCCAGGTATCTCTCCCCCTCCCGGATGTGCCGTAGTGTTTGGAGTTCGGATTCCATCTCATCAATTTTGAGCTGGAGCTCCTCAAGCAGCCAACACTTGGTGCAGATGTGGTCACTGCCGTTCTCAATGGGATCAGCTAGTTCCCACATCATACAGTTGGCATTTATACTCAACTCGCAAATCCTCCCATCTAAACTTAATTATTATTACAACTATTTATTCCCTTCTCTCATATGCTTGCAGAGATCCTCTTAAATACACCTACACAATCATTTCAATCTCTCCCTGTTGTAACTAGACCCAGATTCTCACAACTTCTTCAAGATGCTTCACTTGAACTCCCTATTGGATTTCTAATGACTATCATATATTGACGGCAATATAAGGACTGGTGCAATATTTCAACAAAGAATGTCTAACAAACTTCAATGAGCAACCCCAAAGCAAGAATCACACCCCTTGTCCAACAAGACAGATACTAACACTTACAAGCTATTACTGACTTGGAAGTTTAAATGCATGTGAAAGCACTTTGTTCTAACCCTTAAAACCCATTTCTTGGGAAACAATTCAATCACTTAATTTTCCACATAAGTTAAGCTGGCCTTTGGAAACTGCCTTGCAACTGACAAATTAACAATCAGTCAAAAGGAAACTTGCCATTCCCTTCACAACTTATGCTGTAACATACATTTACATTTTGGAATTATTTTCAAGGAAGTGAGTTAAACTATGTTGTAGGAGTCAAAATAAAAGCAGTTCACCATACTGCTATATGAAAAGCAAAAAGTAAATGACAGTAGTATTTAAATATTTCTATGGGCCAAGAAAGGAAAGACAGCTTTCACAGTAGGACATCAAAACTCAAAACTACCAATTCCACAATACTAGCACAAAACTATGCTTTCATACCCAAATGACCCAAGTTGCACACAAAGTAGCTATTACATTGCAGGAAGTCAAGCCAAACTGCTAGTTTATCTACAGGAAGATTTGAAGAGGCAATTAGAAAACGCAGCATGCAAAACCAACCTGGTACATTGCTCTCAGGCATCCTAAAATCTCATTAGTGGGTCACTTTGAACTGACTGAGCACAACCACAATATTGTGTTGAACTGAAACTGATTTTCAATTTTGAAAAGAATACTTTGCACAATAACTATGCACTGTAGCACTGTGGACAAGACGATTAATCAAGCATTCAGTATTTTCTTTTTAAACATAAAACAGTAAAGTGTACATTTTGAAAACATTGAGTAAGAGGGAAAAGTAGAGAATAAATAAATAAATCATTCAAAAAAGTTTGGGAAGCACACAAGACATATTTAAAATGGGAGGAAACAGAGAGGAAACAATACAGACCTCCAAAATATTAACATCTGCCAATAAAAACACAAATTGCCAAAAAAAGGTAGTGCCTTGTGACACAACAGGAAGACAGAAAAACTCAAAACCGAAGTTGACAACTATTTTGTTCATCTGTTATCATCGGTGGGCTATCAAGGTTTAGTTTTTCAAATTATGTTACAAATTAGGAGGTTTGGTAGGTAAGAGGTCAGATGAAATATGAGGTAATGTACTTTCAGAAATTAAGGAATTATAATCTAAATGGCATAACTGTAAAAAGACAAAACAGAGATTTAGGGGTTCAGATACATAAACCTTTAAAACAAAGACATGATAAATTGATAATCTGTCCAGGTGTAACCAGTCTCCAATTATTTGGAAACTGGAAGGTCTGGGCCACCTGCCTTAGGAAGGACATTAATGGTAAGGAAAGAGTATAATAGAGGTCAGTTTCCAGGATATTAGGAATGAGAGGCTTTGAAATATTAACAAATTTAAGAGAAATTATGTTAGAGATGCTCAAAAGAAGGCGGCATTTTGATATAGTAAAATAGAATAAAATCTGTTCATTGGGCTAGCAAAACAGCAAAAAATTCAAGCAAAGGAATATTTGCGTATTTTTTTTAAAAGTTGTTAGCACATAAAACATTCTTAAATGCTTTTGTGTTTTAAATGACAAGGGGCAATATTTGAATATATTATAAAGTATTCAGAAAAAAAGGAAAGGCAATGGCACTAAGCACTGAGCTGTTTCCCACATTTGGCAAAAAAAAATAATAAGCAGGGAAAACTTCATAAATCACAAAGAAATATTTAATACCTGACCAATCTAGGATATCAAGATCACGAAGAACATATTCTGATATCTCAGTGTCATTGTAGTTCAAATTATCCAAACAATTTCTGCTGTAAAATGCTATCATTGCACATTCCATTTTCCCTTTGAATTACTATGCTGCACAAACCCACAGTCCAAACAATTAAACTTAAGATGGAGAGATAAAATTCAAAATGCTTTGAGGAAAAAGAAAAAAAAAATGACATTGGTTAAGCTTCATTTGTCCTTTCAAAAGATCTGATTCAACATCAGTTAATCATTACATAAACCTTTAATAAATAACTTCGCAAATATATTCCCCAATTTCTAACTGGCATTCAAAAATGCTCAACACGTAAAACTGGTAGTGTTTGTTTATGTTATTTAAAGGGGGGAGGGGGGGGGAGTAAATAGCTGCTGCCTCAAGTAAAAGACAATACACAAATAAAGATCAATAATGAGCTCGGTCACTGCCAATTTCCAACCATTTCAAATTTGCCTGCGATTACTTACTTTCCATCTGTATCTGATGCTGCTGCATAGTGAAGTGGCGTGCAACCTCTTTCATCAAGGTCGTTTACACTGGCTCCAGATCCCACAAGAGCAAACAGGCACTGGTAGTTGCAGTTCGCAGCAGCATAATGCAGTGAGGTCCTTCCCAGAATAGAAAAAAGAACAGTAAATATCTTTCTGCTTGGTTATTATTTTTAGCTACATCATGATTTAAAGTTCCTTAAACCATACTGCCTTGTCATATTTTTGTTCTTTCCCTTTCTCATAAAGGCAGTGATTTTTGTTGGGATATGCTTCCTGAGCACTGTCCTGTCAAACACCTTGTCCAAATAGGCAGTTAAATTTTCATTTAACCTATTTTTCTAATCAGCCTGTTCAGTTACATTAATACACACCTCAGGAGCATGTGGGATTTGAACCTGGGCCTCCTAGTCTATGAGTAGGGACATATGCAACATCTTAGATATCATCAGCTTAGCTTAATCCTATATTGAATTAATTACTTCTAGATATATATCATAATGACATCCCATCATATGAGAAAGAAAGCGCAGAGGTTTTGCTGGTGGGTGTTGGAAGCAGTTTCATAAATATGACAAAACAGAGAGGGCCAGCAGCTTCATAAGCATTGCGAACAAGAGAAACTGCAATAGTAGCTTCATGTGATTGCATAAGAGAGGGTGCAGAGGAGATTTACCAGGACACTGCCAGGGTAGCTGGGTCTGAGCTAGGATGAAAGATTGGATAGGCTCGGGTTGTTTTCCTTCGAGCAGTAAAGGTCAAGAAGGAACTTGATAGATGTGTACAAGTTTAAGGTTCTTGCAAAGATTTGTAGCTCAGGTTATGGATGAGGTCGTTGGCTTGCTCACTGAGCCAGCTGGTTATCATTCAGACATTTCGTCACCATGCTAGGTAACATCATCAGTACAGCCTCCGATGAAGCAATGTTGTTCTAACTCTGCTTGGTATTTATATGATCAAATTTATGAGAAGAGGAAGACAACCATCAACTTCTAGACAACTTCAGGATAGAATGAGTGACCAACAGGGACTCCAAACCACAGTATATAAGAAGGCGACCCACACTGACTCAATCCTCAATTTCCATAGCAATCACCCCAATGTCCACAGACAAGACTGTGTTAGGACACTATTCAAACAGGGCGCAGCTCACTGCAACACGCCAGAGAAATGCAAGGAGGAGGAAGAACACCGATATAACGTCTTTGCTAACAAGAGATATCCCAACAACTTCATCCGCAGGTGCCTGTTAGTTCGACAAGGCCAAGAGGACACAGTACACCCCAATACACTGGACACACTACCCTGTATCAAGAACATATCAGAACCGATAAGACTCCTATGACCACTAGGAATTGTGGTAGCAAATAAACCTACAGCCACACTACAACAAACACTCACGAGGACCAAAGACCTCATACCCATGACATGCAAGGCCAACGTAGTTTAAAAAATACCTTGCAATGACTTCAGCAAACATTACATCGGCCACAGGGATCAGTGCTGGCGCCTCAAGTGACACAAAGATAGGTAGGAAAGAAAGTTATGATGAAGACACAAGAAGTTCACAAAGGGGTATAGGTTAGGTGAGTTTTTCTTTATTCATTCACGGGATGAGGGGCATCGCTGGCTAGGCAGCATTTATTGCCCATCCCTAATTGCCCAGAGGGCAGTTCAGAGTCAACCACATTGCAGTGGGTCTGGAGTCACATGTAGGCCAGACCAGGTAAAGATGGCAGTTTCCTTCCCTAAAGGACATTAGTGAACCAGATGGGTTTTTCCAACAATCGACAATGGATTCATGGTCATCATTAGACTCTTAATTCCAGATATTTATTGAATTCAAATTCCACCATCTGCCAATATTAATAACAATAAAATTCTTATCTATTAATGCATTAGAGATAAATAAACACGCAACGGGCGAAGCTCTAGTAAATAGAGTACAATGTGGAAAAATGTGAAATTGTACATTTTGGCAGGATAAATAAAACATTTTTTTTATCTCAAATGGATAGCAGGATTTTAGGTGTGCAAATGGACGAATCACTAAAGGTCAGAAAGTAGGTACAGCAAATTCCAAAGGAATAGAGCATAAAAACATCAAAGTTTTGTTAAAACTATAAGTACTGGTTAGACCATACCATGGTTACTGTCCACAGTTTTGGTCCCATTATCTAAGGAATGTCTGCTGCTATTAGAGGCAGTTCAGAAAAGGCCGACTGGGTTGATCCTAGGTATGGTGGGATTTTCTTATGAGAAGTTGAGTAGGATGGGCCTATACTTATTGAAGGTTAGAAGGAGAGGCAACATTATTGAAACATACATGATTCTTAGAGGGGCTTATAGGGTAAGTGCTGAGAGGTCATTTCCCCTTGTGAGAATGTGTACGAGGGTATAAACTCAGAGTAAGGACTATTACTAGGTATTTATTAATAGCAACTTTGAAATAATATGGTCTGTTTTAGCTTCCTTGCTAAGATTCCATCAAGAACAAAAAATGAACTAATGGTCCCATTTCCTTTAACGAACAAGAATTAATCCGGTCCTTAAATCCTGCCACGGTTTATTGTTCAGATTCCCATGCTAATAATTTGTCCCACGAGCACGCTCACTGCATACATAAACAAAAAGATACTAAAATTTCATCTATGCATTGTGTCATGAATCTTTAAGGCCAGATTGTCCTGCCATATTGAACTGTGAACTAACAGGGTGGTGATGGCTCCATAGATACCCTCATTCTTAACAATGGGAGAGCCCAGCACATCAGTGCATAAGATAATGCTGAAATATTTGCATCCATCTTCAGCCAGAAGTACCAAGTGGATGATACATTACAGCCTCCTCCTGAGGTCCCTAGCATCATGGAGTGATTCATTTGGTTGCAACTGACTGAAATCAAGAAAGGGCTGAAGGTACAGCAAAGACTATGGGCTCTGACATTTCAGTAATAGTACTGAGGATGTGTGCTCCTGAACTAAGTGCATCACTAACCAAGTTATCCAATACAGCTACAACTCTGGAATTTACTAGTGGAATGTCCTGACCACCAAAAGCAGGATAAATCCAATCGAGCAGTCTTACTTTTGATCATCAACAGTGCTATCAAGTGGCACCTGCTCAGCAATAACTTGCTGACTGACAGTTAGTTTGTATTCTGCTAGGCCCACTCAGCTGTTGACTTCATTACAGCCTTGGCCCAAACACGAGTAACAGAAGTGTGATGGAATACTCTAACCTTGCCTGCATGGGTACAACTCTAACACTCAAACATGACACCATCCAGACCAATGCAGCTCCCTTCAAAGGAGGTTCATCTACCACCTTCAGTACTCACTCCCTTTGCCACCAAGGTACGGTTGCAGCAGTGTGCACCATCTACAAGATGCACTGCAGTAGTTAATCCAGCTTCATTAGACAGCACTGTCCAAACCCACAACCACTACCATCTAGAAGGACAAAGTCAGCAGATACATGGTAACATCAGCACCTGCATGTTCCCCTCCAAGCCACTCACCACCCTGACTACTGTCACTGGATCAAAATCCTGGAATTACTCCTCTAATAGCATTGTGGGTCTAATGAACAGCACAGACACTACAGCACTTCAAGAATGCTGCTTACTATGTCCTTCTCACAGGCAGCTAGGCAATAAATTCTAGCCAGTAACGCCACCAGTGAATAAAAAAAAATTAAACAGTTTTTTTAGATATGATTTTTGCACATCTGTAAAAGATAATCGCAATTTTTTCCTCATCTTCCTTTCTAATTAAATTTCATTCAGCCATCAGATGAGTGCTTGAAATGAAATTCGTTGTTATTAACAATTGAGTGATTATAGAACTATCAATTCATTCAAAATGGATGTCAAAGAAGCAGTTGCAGAGAATGATAAAATATATCAAACATAGTAAATAAAATTATTTCAAATAAACAGCCCATAAATATCAATAGATGTAACAAGTCAGCGATTTTACTTATTTTGAAAAAAATATTCTGGAGAAATGTTTCTTTCCTGTTCTTCCTCAAATGTGTAAGAATGGGGAGAAATTAAATTCTATGTTATATTTGTAATTCCTTATTGAGAGAACATTGAGAGATAAACTCTCATCAAAGACTTGTATATTGGCTAATTGCCATTTTCAAAAAAAATGTGCTTACGTAATTACCATGGTAAGGAAAATAACTAGCAAGTATTTATCCTGAGTCATTTGATTTTCCCCTACTTTGATATATGGTCATCAGGTCTCCTTCATAGCCCCCCGTCCTCTCATCTTTTCAATCTCAAGTCATTTTCTTGCCTCAAGCTCAAGGGGAGCCTACCAATCCTGGGTGCAGGACTAGAGCACTGATAGTCTGTCTTCCTGGACATGGAAAGCAGGAGGGATTACAAATGAGAGAGAGAAATTGAATGAAGGCCAATGCTGGGAAGGAGTTGAGTAGCTATGCAGCTCAGTATGTGTAAAGCAAAGATGGCCCTTTAAATCAATGCAGTGAATTAGAAGAGGGACAAAAACAGGTGAGGTGTAAAATCAGGGAAACCAATTAAGCAAACCTCAACCACATAGGCGAGAGATCTCAAGCATAATGGAGAAAATGAGACACGTGATTCCATACTTAAATGAAATCACAAGACGAGACTCTAACCATCACATGAAATGATTAATAGAGCACCCAAACTCTTTTGAAAAAGAAGAAATATGACACACACTAGTGGTAATGTCAACTTATTTGAAATATAAAGGAAACAAAAAAAGTACAAGGAAATGAGAAAATTAATGGCTGACAGTGAACTATGCAATTAAAAGAAAGGGGAAGGCCTATAGTCAAATGCTCTTGGTCATCTGTCCAATTTTATATTTATGACAGAATCATGCAAAAAAGCAGAAGTGGGAATCTTAATAAATTGCTCTTGTTTCAAGTACAGAAGAAGATATGTCTGCTGATAGCCAAGAATGATCCTGTTCTCATAGCAACTGAGATAATAAAGTCATAAAAGACACTGCTTTGTTTCCTGTATACACACAGAGATCTGGACAGTATATTTGACATCAATGTGTGTGCAATTTTCAAGAAAAGTTACATAGCAACCTAAATATTATATACAGATGTACTTTATTTGTTCATATCTTGCTTTAAATAGTATACTCATTAAACATTTTTTCTGACATTCCTTCTGACATGTGATGGAAATTTGACTTGCTGATATGTAGAGATGGAACTTGCTTTCAAAACAAAATTTTGCACTTATAAAACACTATTCACAACCTGAGGTTGTTCCAATGCTTTTCACTGTTAAATAACATTATGAAGGGGAGACGACGGCCTAATGGTATTATCGCTGCCTGTTAATCCAGAGACCCAGATATTGTTCTGGGAATAAGACAAAGTGTGGAGCTGGAGGAACACAGCAGGCCAGGCAGTATCAGAGGAGCAAGAAAGCTGACATTTTGGGTCCGGACCCTTCTTCAGAAATGGGGAGGGGGAGAGGAGCTCAGAAATAAATAGAGAGAGGAGGGGTGGGGCTGGGGAATGTAGGTGGGATGGTGATAAATGAGGGGATGGTGATAGATGAGTGCATGTGGGCAGTGGTCAGGATTGGTCAGCGAGGTGGGATAGGTGGGAGAGAAGATGGACAGGTTGTGTCAGGTCAAGGAGGCAGGGATGAGAGGGAGGGGTTGGTCATGGGATGAGGCCAGGGGTGGGGAGATTTTGAAACCGGTAAAATTCACATTTAGGCAATCGGGCTGTAGACTCCCGAGGTGGAACAGGAAGTGTTGCTCCTCCAGTTTGTTCTGGGAACCTGGGTTTGAATTCTGCTATGGCAGATGGTGGAACGTGAATTCAATAAAGTCTGGAATTAAGAATCTAATGATGACCATGAATCCATTATTGATTGTCAGAAAAACCCAAGAGAGTCACGAATGTCCTTGGTGGGTGGGGTGGGGTGGGGTGTGCCATCCTTACCTGGTCTGGCCTACATGCGACTCCAGACCCACAGCAATGTAGTTAACTCTTAACTGCCCTCTGGGCAATAAATGCTGGTCCAGCCAGCACTGGCCTCATCCCATGAATGGATAAAGAAAAAACTACTTTTGAAATGTGGTTACTGTCGCAATATAGAAAGTGCAGCAGTGAATTTGCTTAAGGCCTTGTAAAGGGCAAACCATGGTGTGTTTAATGTGATAGAATCTCAAGGCACTTCACATAAGCAATATTATCACTAAGTCACCACGAAATAAATGATCAGGTAATCTATTTTAATGAGGCTGAATGATGGATAAATGTTGGCCAGGACAGAGGCAGAAATCCCCATCACTTTGACTATTTCCATGGGCTCTTCTATATCTACCAGAGGAACCAAGCAGAGCTCTGAACTACTTCCAGAAAGCTGCATTTTATGGCATTTTTGTAAGTAAATGCAAGTAACTTACTAAGCTACAGCTAGGAAAAAAGACGACAGCCAGTACAATGACAGAACCAAGTTCCCTCTGTTCAAATATCTAAGTAATAAATGTGACACAACTGGAAACACTGGGAAAATTCCACTGCAAAAGAGGTGCGTTGCGTGTTGAGCTGTCATGAATTCAAGCATTATATTCAGAACTCCTAATATTTTCATTCATTTATTCTTGAGGAAAATAAAATCACATGCCCTTTTCTGAAGAGCCAGAAGCAGTCTTAATGCATCGAGTATACTAGTATGAAATGGGGATCAGCAATGTAAAGGAATATCAAATTACCTTCTGTGAAGCAGAGAACCTAACTTCTAAGACAAACCACTACTCAGGAAAATAAGACCACCTGAATTGAAAGTCTGCCACATGTACCAAAATAAACAGAAATACGGAGATGTGCCACTAAGATCATAACAAAATAGCCCAAGCAAAACAGCATTAGCATAAAGGACCTAAAGTTCCATGCTAACAGCAACCTCAGTTTATTTGAGAGTAAAAAGAAATTAAAAAAAAACTGGTATAAGGAAATTTGAATCAAAAGTAAGAACAGAAAGCTATAAGAAGGTGGCAAACACACCTTCATAATTCTGGAAAAATCCTTTATGGGAATTCTAAATTCTACACTTAGCTGCATAATGAATTATTCTAGAAATCAGCTTCATCTCTCACCGTCCAAATTTATCTTTTTTGTTGAAGTCAGCTCCACTATTAAGCAACAGATTCAGACATTCCAGATTTCTGGAAAATAATATACAGTAAAACTAAGTTATAAAACTATATTCAAATTTTACACACATATTGATAGCATTTTATATACCAATCATTAACTGCATAAGCGCAACTGTTTCTAGCAAGTGTAACTGTTGCCTGTGCTGTGATTACTAATTATTATATTAAGTTTCTAATGGGAAAAAAGCCATGGAATCATCACTTTCTTTTAAGACTTGGTTCTAATATATTTTGAAATACCCTTTTCTTCTTGATGGCACACAGCTCAATGGGATCAGACTTACAAATTTTAACAAAAAAAGAACTTCTGTTAATTATTCAAAGACTAAAATAAACTACGCTGATTAGATCAGGAGATGACCTAAATTTTGGATACGGAATCAGTGTTGTTGTATGCAAGCATGATGGCATCTTGAATAAATTAAATTGCAATAATTACCCTCTACATTAAAGGAGCCTCAATATTAAGTTGCAACACAGGGATTTTTGCAGTAAATGTACACAGGTCTTTAATGTCGGAACATTATGGATTGGTGGGGCCAAATGTCCTGTTTTCCTTGCTGTAATTTCTGTAAGGTTCAATCAAGCACTCTGTCTAACTATTAGTATCCATGATTAAATCTGGACAGGGTGGTTCCCTTAGCAAGAATTGCTGAATTGAGATCACGAGTGGGAATCCTATCTACTTCCCTCTTGAACTACAGCCAACAAAACAACCTATTTTTGTTCTGGTTAAAAATCAGACTGTAGAGTAGAGACCAGGGATCAAAAACGATAGCTTGGAACACTCGTGTGTGACTTAACTCTGAGTCATTGGGAAACCACCCTTTCACAAGTTATTCATAGACTACTACTGGAATCTGCAGAATAAATTTAAATGTCCTCAAAACATTAGCAAATTAAAAATTCAAGACAATGCTGGAATCACTAAAATTTAATCAAAATACTATCAATAATAATCTAAAATAATACATTCTGATGTTTGCAAACACTATAAATAAGGTCAAGACTGTTTGTGCGCAAGTATAACCTCCTAATACGGATAAAGTATTAAACAGGAATAAACAGCAAAGTGATATACAGCAGGATGCCTTAATAAATGCTTTCCTGATCAAGGTCGTGTTTGACAGCAGTACTTGATTTACATTTGCATTGTAATTAGCCAATGTCCCGTACAGATAATGGTGCTTGTTGCTTGTAGGATCCAACTGCTGCCCTATGAGCCATAGGGATATAATTATGATTACGACAGTGCTGTTGATGGTTTAGTGCTATTGACTGAAAAAGCACAAGGTCATTACTCACCCTCCAGCAGCAGCTGCATGAAGACAGGTCCTGCCAAATTCATCTGGGGTGTCTATATCAAAGCCTGTGCAATGAATAAGCTCTTTGTGAAACTATAAAAGGAATCCATCCATTCTGCCAAAACCATTACTAGAATTTTTAAAGCTGTAACTGGTGCAAGCAGAATTTGACATACCATAAACTGAAAGTAACCTTCTTTGCATTGTTAAAAAAAACATAGAAAATTGACCACTCCATGTCTTTAAAATAATCAAGTGACAACTCCTATCCACACACGGACTGATAGTTTGGTACAAGCAAGTCGCCAGGTTGCGAACGGGTTCTGTTCTGGAGATAGTAGGAACTGCAGATGTGGAGAATCTGAGATAACAAGGTGTAGAGCTGGATGAACACAGCAGGCCAAGCAGCATCAGAGGAGCAGGAAGGCTGACGTTTCGGGCCTAGCCT